TTGTAATTCATTGTTTATTTCATCTAACTTTTGCGTAAGATCAGTTAAAAATGCCAAATCCAACAACCACATTTTATCGGCCAACTCGTCATATCGTTCATTCTTTGAGTCCAAAAATAATTTTATCTCTGGAATAATATTTATAAATTTCTGTAAAGCTTTTCCTTTACTCACCCAGCTGTTATCAGAACTTTCTTCACAATTAGGATCTAGTTCATCAAGAAGACTTTTAAATTCACACCTTTTAAATGCCTTGCTTCGTATATAATTCGCCACTTTAGTAACGACTCTCGTAACATGTTCGAAGTCCACATTTTTTTCATAGAGCGTCTTTCGGCGTTCCACAGAACAGTAAGTAATAAACGGCGGAAAGTCTGGATCTCTCTCACAGGATTCGACGAAATGCTTCACCAATTTGGACGGAGTACACTCCATCACCGAAACGACTTTATTTATCGGAATCCGTTCGTCCGCGACGTATTTCTTAAATTCTCCGAAGACATCCACGTCAGCCGACTTTTCCTTCACCGGTACCAACGTAAGCATTTCCTCCCTTGCCTCAAAGTTTCGAAACGCCATCCTGACGAACACCACCACCAGAGTGGCATCAGCAGAGTCTGTTGCCTCATCAACCCCGACAGAGAAATACTCGCAAGACAGGAGGTCCTCATCCAGCTTTCGGCGCAGATGTTCGGCCAGCGATTCCACCCTCCTGGTCACGGTGGACGAACTGAGGGGCATTCCCCTGATCATCTCCGTCAGCTCGTCTCCATCGTCCCTGTCGGCAAATAGGGACTCGGCCGCCAGAAGCATGGCCTCCTTCACGAAGGCGCCGTCGGTAAACGGCTTCTTGTGCTTCACCAGGAGGTGCGCAATCTTGAACGAGGCCTCGGCCACCCTGCGCAACTTCCCAACAGGCTTCTTGGATGCAGGCTGAACAGAATGGAGGGCGTTCTTCAGTTCGTTCACTATTTTGGACCGTAGGTTGCTGCCTTCGGGAAAATCGAGAGGGAACTGCTTGTGCATAGTGGTGAAATGTCTTTCTAGATTGCTCTTCTTACTGATGGCGATAGTTCCGCGGCATATCATGCAAGTACACTTCTCGTTAATTACGGTGAACAAATATTTATACTCCCATTCCTCGTGGAAGCGGTAATTCTTTTTTTTCTTCCTGGGAGGTCCAACGTCCATCGCCTTTCTGGCCTCCATGGCCAAGCTATGGTGAATTGGACACTGCAATTTGGCATCCATTTTGATGCACGTTTCTTTATTACGTTAAACGCACATTTAAAAAAACGTAGCCAATAAACGGTGATGTCCGACGACGAAACTCGATCATTATTTCATCATTAATCGTTAAATTAAAACAAAAGCACAAATAAGTCGGCACACGTCAACAACACTTACCTCCATTAATGTTATTTACCTCGCCCTCTAGTGGCTTTTTTTTTTCACAAACACGATTTTACTTCATTTTTAAAATAAAAATTATTACAATTTTCAAAATAAACATTGATTAAAGTAAAGGTGTTAGATTTTTCTCTACTGCATTTATATTTAAAAAATATTATTTATGATTACAGAAAATAAAATTTTTTTAACTTTTTTCACACTGTGGGCACTAAGAGGACCTTTTATTGCAAACCCATTATGGGTTTAGGTAAGCCCACAATTGGACGGCCGCGTGGTGAGGGACGGGGGCTCGAACGTATTCGGACGGATCACCCCCGAAAAATTCCTGGAAATTTATTGACTCATCCGGATACGAAATTGGGTTCCCCAGAGCGGTAGGTAGGCTGCCACCTTGCCGCTCGGCCATCCGGTCGTCTAACTCTTTGCCCCGTGGACGTTTAGAGGGCATTTTTTGTTAACCCATTATGCGTTCGGCCAGCCCTACAATGGGGCGGCCAAGTGATGAGAAACGGGGTCCCAATATATTGAAACGGATCACACACCGAAAACTTCTTGAGGTTTTTCGACCCGTTTGGATTTAATTCCAGATGATCGGAGCGGTAAGTTGCCATTCTAATCGCTCGGTCATCCAGCCGTCTGCTATAGTCCATATAGATGGTATTGGTTGCCATTGAGCATGTGTAGCTTTAGTAGGCGCAAAATTACTTCCGTTAAAATGGCAGCTAACTAGCGTTAATAAACATAATATAAACAAAACACCAAACTCTTGCTGAGCTTATTATTACTTTAATTTCAAACGTTATCAGCCCAATTCCAATAGGCCATCTTCAAGAACTATTCGAATACAACTTTCGAATAAATTTATTCGAAAGTTGTATTCGAATAGTTCATGAAGATGGTAAAATCATCTTTCACTGATGACTTTGACGTTTGTAACAAAACCACCTAACTGTATACAAACAGAATACACTTCAATCTAGCTCATGGCGTAAACGGCATTTTAAAGATCGGATTTAAACAATGAACCTTTTGTCTTGTTAAGAGATTTGAAAGAATAGATAAAGTCGAAGAAATCGAGGTTGGAGAGGAGTCGTGTTCCGACGCGAAGTTGACCTCTCCCGCGCCCTTCGTTGAGTTTCGAATTGTCACCATGTGATGAGGAGAGACCAATGGAGAGGCTACGGAGGTGGAAAAATCAATAAAACCGCGTTTTCGGGAACTTTACGGGGTCTTGGGTTTTGGTGCGTATCTCTGTCGTGAGCACCTGCTGGAGCTCGGTGCTCACGACAGAGATACAACGTAGGCTCTTTCGACGCCCTAGAACCTGGTTCGCCAACCCGCCACGTCCAGAATCGCCGAGGTTCGACGTGTCAACCGAGGACATCACTACAAGTGCTGGTGCGTGCCCCGGGGCCATCGTTCTCTGCGTCCAGCGTACCGAAAATACCCAAGGACCGATCGAACTGTCGAACTTTTCCGTTTTTGTTGGAACTGTTATAGTAACCTATCGTTGGACAGGCTTTCGCCTGACTTATTGGATTATTGTAAGAACAATTTATGTATATTATTAATTAAACGGTTTTATATGATAAACCTATCTCGGTGAGTCATTCCGCGCCCACACGACAGTAATGACCGCTCGGCTGTCGAAAACACCTCATCCCAATAGGCTGACCTCACATATTGTCGTTATCGTAATTATCATAATTATGTACCATCATTACATCTGGATGAATTTTTGCTAGATATGTCCCAATGAATAGATCATCATAGGTAAAGCTCCGTGAAATAAATTCAATTAACACTTTATTCAGGAGTGTAGTCGTAAATGCTAGTCGTAAATAATTCCAGGCTCTAGTCAGCGCCCCGAGTTCAATCGCCAGTGTTTTTGGAGGTTTGCACAGGCAAAACATAATTTTGCGGCGCGATATCTGCAAAACGGCTTAAATGTGCCAAAATGACCTATTCATTCTTTCTTAATTAGCGCAAAAAACTGTGCAAGAAGTAATTTTCTGAAATCGTTGCATTAGACCCTTTTTTATGGTATATCTATGCACCTTGAGCCTTACGCCCAAGTTCCTGGTGGTGAGATCGATATAGTCTTTTTTAACATCCAGTTGGAAGTTTACATAATGAATTTTATATACACCTGCTTTCTCCTCCCCTTTGATACTATTCTTATCATTTCTCAAGATCCTATACAAATTCGGGACTCTTCTTAAAACCATTCTTGATTCTTTTCGGCCAGCAACTTTTTTTATAACACTATTCATACTATTCATGAGCACAGAAAAAAGAACCTTAAGGAATTTACTAGGAACTCGGACCAGAGTAAATTATATTTGAAGATTTATGTTATTTTTTGTTTTATCTTAATTTTATCTATTTTTATATGTTCTTCCGTTGTTGTTTTTCTCTTGTAAAAATTTTTTCGATTTAAATTTTTGTATTCTATTCATGGAACATATTCGTTCCAATTTCGTTTTCGATCTGAAGATGGCCTGTTAATTGGGCTGAAAACGTTTTTTTTTTTCAAAATTATATGTATTTCTCGGCAACAAAAAAGGTGTTTTGTTTCTGTTATTCGTGAAAGTTTCTTAACTAAATTAAGAGATTATATTTTTAAAAAATTGCTGCCATAAACATTTTAAATAGCGCCAATGAAATTACAACTTTCTTGTTTGAAAGAAGAAAAATAAAAATCATGTTTAAATTTGAATTTAAATATCCGATTGACGTAGGACAGAATCGTTTCTATAAAGCTACAATGTACGGAGAAACTCCCGCGGTACTACATTCGAAGTCACCTAAACCAACAACGAACACGGGCTTACAGAGACACTTTAATTAGAGGGCGGAGAGAATCGATTTGCACAAACAAAAACCAATTTTTAATTTGCAGTCACCTATAATTTGTTTACGTTTTGCTTCCTTTATTTGTGTGTGTGTTTTTCCCCCTCGCTTTTCCCGAATTTTTCCGTTGTTGAATTTGTATGGGTAGTTGGTCCCATGCTCCTCCGACTAGTACGTCCATGCGGACAATTAATCATCTGCCGATATTCAAACAATACATACGAAGCTTTTTTTTTTCTTTAATATTATCTTGTCTTGTAATATCTAGTTGGGCACGAGCTTCTAGGCTACATCTCTCGTGGCAAAGTGTGTGGTAATTGTCACGTAATAGTAGTCGTATGTGTTTATGATGATCGTTACGCGGGGAATAATGACTTCCGGGAGGACTTTTAAAGGGTAACTGGCCCCGATTCGGGCGTTACAAACGTGGAGAAAACCCGGAAAACTCCACGCCTGTCCTGACTAGGTACGAACCCACGACCGAACTCCCAGTGTTCGGGGAACGGAACCACTTGACCGCTGGTGGGCCACACGAAGCTTTTTCGAGCGCGCGATTCCAAGAACACGTTAGCGAAGACAAATAAACGATATTATTTTAAAGTGTAATAAAGCACAAAAGATTTTCAGTTTATTTATTCTTTTAATGAACTAATTTATTTGAAATTAAAACAGAAGGTAGAACGATTATCGAAATTTAATCATAAATAATAGACTTTTTTTCCTGAGGAGTTGGCAACGCTCCCAATCGGGAGGCAGACGATCTTTTCGTCACGAAAGGTCTCTTTTGGCGTGGTCGATTGTGTAGTCATGCCTTCCGTGCTTTTGACCGAATCCATTGCGGTCGAAATGGGAGGTAAGCTTTATAATCGATAAATTTTGCGTAGTTATTTTCGAGTTTGACTATTAATTAATTACTGTTTTCTTTGGAGCCGAGCGCATAATTAGAAGTTCGTATCGTCTTAACAGTTACGAAGGAACAAATTGATTAATTTGCTTCATAATTAAATCCGTTTTAAATGATGCAAAAAACTGTTGGGTTAAACATTACGTACGCGCACCGTCATGGCCGCACTGTCCCCACTGCGGCTATGACTGTGCACGTAGATAAAGTTTGACCAACTGTTGGCACGATTCAAGCTCCGAATGAGGGTTTTTTGACTCCCTTGTACGAGCGCAAAAGCCAAAGGAATCTTACGTCTAAAGCAGGAGTGTCCAATCTTTTTGTTTTTCTGGGCCATGTTGGAAGAAGTCTTGGAGTTTTGGGCCACAAGCATATATAATATACTTGTGGTCCAATCCTTAAATATACTTGTATATTTAAGGATTAACATATATTTAGATTATAGTAAATATTAAAACTTTATCACAAAAACGATATTTCAAAAAATTACTTCTATGACACTTTCAATTTTTTTACTTAGAAATAAATAAATTTATTATGAAGGAGACAAACAAAAATTTATTTGAAAAACAAATATTTATTCCATTTGGGTCTCTACTTAATAAAAACAACAAAACACCATTTTAAAGTGCATTTTTATTCAACTAATATATTTATAAATAGTATGTAGCCCAAAAAGTAGCCAATGCACCAAATGATATTGTTTATGCCAAACTAAAAAGAGAATAGCCAAATCTTGCAATGCTGGAAAGAATACTAAATAAAGCTGGAGTTGGGACTCAAAGATTTAGACACCCAAATGTGGGGAAAGGTGAGAAAGTACAAAAGATAAAGAAGTGAATATGTTGGAAAATTAATGGTCAATATTTGCATAACAAAAGGTCTATTTAACCTTTCTCACTACAATTTATCTTTTGGCCTTTCTCTCCTTTCTCCCTGCTTTTGGGTCTATAACCGTGAGACCCAACTCCAGCTTTATTTAGTATTCCTTCCTCATTCACACATTTCCAAGTATTTGAAAATATTTCCTTTCCACTCAAAAATAAAATATGTATAAACTTTGTGAAACTTCTTTTTTGAGTTTATGCCGTTGAAATAAATAAATAAAATATAAAAAAATTGTCAGTTTTGTTTACATATTTATTGGGCCGCATTGGAACTTGCTTGGGCCGCATGCAGGCTGCAGCCCAAGCAAGTTCCATGATGCCGTATCTCCGCAAGATGATTTCTTGCGGAGATACGGCAGAAAAACAATTGTTGCTTAAGTTTTGCACACTGGTGTATTTGGCCCATATGACTTCGAGTAGCCCACTTGACTATTTGTGGAGTACTTGATGTTATTTAGTTTTAGGGGGTGTGAGGGCTCGGGCCCACCAGGTGCCGAGATGCAAGCAATAGCCAGCGCCAAAGCATACGACTACATGCAGTGTGTTGGTTGAGGCTTGCTGTAGTTTGCCTTGATGATGCAGAGTGTAGAGAATAGGCGATAGTACCAGTTCAAGGTAAAAACTAGTTGATACAATTTAATGAATTTATTATTTGTTACAGGCACAGATTGTTTTGCCTCTAAGACTTGTTTGCAAGTGTGACATGAGTAAGATGAGATTGGAACTGTTGCCATCAGGTTCTGTGTTTGGAGATAGATATCTGGCACAGGGTCAGCTGTTGGACTTTTCTTTATTCTTTACTGACAAATATCGTTAGAATGTCCAATCTCCCTGTACCGACTGTTAAATACACGGTGGGATTGGCGGAGTGTGCAGCATGACTCCCCCATACTGCCTGGAACTAGGCTTTATGCTGATTTTGGGGCTGTATGTCATGAAGAGTTATGGTTCCTTTGACTTTTTTGCTACTGCGGATGTGCTCTGGCTGTGTTAAGATCCCAATGGTGTCATTCGCATCTGCAGTCATACCCAAAATTGTTTATTTGCAAACAATAAAAGCTACTCTATATACAAATACATACTAAAACCGTTACATATTCACATAATATCTCCAATAGCAGAATTGACAGTGTTAATCTGTTCTATTCTTTGGTTCATTGTTGGTACATATATTGTAGTAAGCTAGATAGAGGAAGAGGAACAAATTATGTATAAAATATTATATCCTGTATTGAGAGAGGAGTGGGCAATCAAAATTTGGCAAAATAAAAGAAAGTGAAAAACCTGAGAAGATTCACAATCTCTGATAGAAAATTTCATGTTCTTGTACTCAAGGAAATCTGGCCAAATATTTTATGTACATGATTAACAGCTGATAAAGTGACTATTTTTCTATTTTCTATATACATGAGCAGTCAAAAAATTTCTGAAATTGTACTATAGTGCTTGTAACAAGTGTTTCCATATATCTTAACATATGAAAACACCTAATCACCTTCAAAGTAGGACCCTTCAGTGCATGTACACACACACACACACACACTCACTCACTCATTCTTGTTCCATTGATACTGTTATTGTTGGAAGGGCCATTGGAAGGCTTTCTTTCAAATATTCATGAGTTTGGCCTTTGTTTTTGATTTTATATCCTTCATGGTTGTGTAATGGTTCCCTTGAGATCCATTTTCAGAATAGGGAACAGTCAAAAGTCACTCAGACTGAGTTCCAGTGAGTACAATGATTGAATAATGACAGGAAGTCTTTTGTTGGCATGGAATTACTACACAAGTGATGAGTGACTCGGTATATTATTGTGATACAGAAACTATCTTCCCCACCACTTGTTATGCCATTTCCTCTAAACTGCATCTTGAAACCTATGCAAATCGTGCATGTAGAAATGACCAGTAATGCACTTTCCAGGTGGTATGAACTCTTGGTGCACCACACTTCCTGTGTCAAAGAATGCAACAAGTGTGATGGCCGAACTTGTGAATATTCCAAAATAAACCTTTTGATGGTGGTGCTTCCAACAATGGCATGATCGATGGGACAGGTGTTTGTGCTGAAGGATCTTACTTTGAAGGTGATTAAGTAAGCATTTCCATACATCCTACCATACAGTGCTACATCACAACTCTAGGAACTTGATGACTGTCTTTGTATATTATTAATTGATCACATATTGCTACTTATTGATAATTGAATAGTTGGTCATTGAGAAAAAGAAAATATTTAGAATTAAATTTATTATAACTGATGTATATTTAGAAAGGTTTAGAAAGAATGTCATAATAGTTATTCCAGATATTGGAAATTTACATACCAAATTCCTATATAGGATATTTTTGCAAATTAAAATTTGTTTTAATTCATTCAGTAATTGAAACTTTAAATTTTTCAGCTATGGAACCATGGCCAGAAGATGCAAGACTTTATCAGCCAAGTGAATGTGAGTTTATAAAATATGTTTTTGAACATTATATTCAGATATTTGTTATGTATATATACTTTATATACAGTTATTATTTTGTTCAATGGAACTTAGAATTTCTTCAGATTTAAATTAGACTATTAATGTCAAAACTAAGATTTCATCATAATTTTTGATCAAAATATATACCTTTCATAAAATATTTGTCAAGAACTTAGCTGAAAATTGTATATATTTATTAGTTATGTGCTGGATTGTTAAAAATGTATATCCGCGGATACGGATACAGATATGGATCATTAGTGTCTAGATCCGCGGATACAGATATGGATCTCAACCTTTGTACTTAGTCTGTGCCGGTACGTGTGACCTTGGACTGATAGTTGACGCTTTGCGTTAGTAACGCAACATGTTTTGACTTGCATTGCACGTGTTTTTGTTTATAGTTTAATGTGACATGGGATAGCGTAGATTATGTTTGTATTTTTGGAGAGTGTTGAGTTAAATTAAAATGAAAACAATGTCGACAAAAAGTTCAGTAGTGTAATATGGAAATATTTTACGATAGTAAATGAATTTTGCATGATAAAATTTTTGCAATGTGAATGTACCAAATATGTGATTTTAAGAAATAGAAAGTGATTTGAATTGAAGTTATTAGTATTTTATTGCTACCTATCTTTAAAATTTCTATAAGTAATGAAATTCATTAAGATAAAAGAGCCGTTAAAGATCCGCTAAAAAGTAACAGATATGAATACAGATTTTTTTCCTTCGGATATCCGGCACATCACTAATATTTATATAAGTTCTTTGAACTTCTTATAGATACTGTGGTTATTATATATGTAAGAAAAGTAATAGAAATGAGAATAATCTAGCATTCATAACAGTTTTCAGTCCTGTTTGCGTCTTCTCCAATTGACATCTTCCCTTACTTGTCCCCCCCTTTTCTCCCTCGTCTCCTTCGCACCTGTTTATTTTCTTAACTGTTTAGGAATTTGACTCATCTAACCCTCACATATGTGAAGGATGAACAGACCCTCAATAAAGTGTTATTTTAAATCTTAATTCTTTTGAAGTTCATTCGTTCATGTGAGCCACCAGAGGGGTTTGAAATGCCTCTCCTATCCAGCAACAGGTCGGTGACCTCCTTTCTTGTCAAGGAAGGCGTTTCTGTTCTGTTACACGAGTGGAGGAGAGTCAGAGGGGTCAATGATAAGACCCCTCTGACTCTCCTCCACTTGCATAACGATAAGACGTTGGCTACGTCGAGTAAAGACACCATTTAAAAACAAAACAAGAGTTTATTACAATCATCTACGGAAAAAATTTACAAATATAATTACTCTAAGTTCTGTTATATCAACCTATCCTGCTACTACAGGGATAGTGGAGAGAGAGAGTTTACAAATATGCGTTCATACCTCTTTGCATATACTAGTGGGATATTCTTCCGTGATATCATCCAAATGGATTCTGGGGTGTGACACAAGTGTAGGTCTGCGACGGGGAAGGCGATGTTCGACTTCGACGTTTTCACTCACGATTGGTGATTTCCTCGAGAGGGGAAGAAGGATGGCTTTTATACTTTTTGTGGTGGGAAAATTAGTCAGGTGATCAATTGTTTTAGCAGGTGTGGGTTTAAAGGTGGTGATAGAATGGCAATAATATGATGAATTTTGCCTGTAAGTGTGAACTATGCACGGATTCCTTGTAAGAATGTTTATATTAAGACATAAAATTCCCATGGCCTCTATATTTTGATTTTTGTAGGTATGGAATAAATTTATTTTATAAAATTAACTAAAATTTGACTCTCACATCTAACTTTGATCATTTTATCAAAAGTTATGCTAAAATCCATAAAAAAATTATTTCCCACGGATTTGGTTCCTTGTTGAGGATGATCCATCTAGTCATTAGTGTGTCACCCGGAACTTTCGATAAATATCCAGTATTGGACGCCAGGCCCTTAACAACAGACTCCTGACCTCATTCAAAAACCCAGGAGGAACCAAAACTAACAAAGGAGAGCGATGACAAATCAAGTCAGTTGTCCTCCAAAGTTCGTCCACAAAAGTCACCTCCAAAGTGTGCTAAAATACTGTGCCTCCGTCGATATCAACATACAGATACCTATCACGCCCAAGTTCTTGATTTATTCTACACCTGTCAGATACCTTCCTCCGAAGATCTGTTACCTGAACAATTTGAATCAAAAGACCTTTAAACCACCTGAAGAATCCACTGAACACCCGAAGAATCCTGTGTTTGAGTCATCAAGTCATCCATCCTCAACTTCTTTATAAGGTATTTATCTACACGCGAGTCGTTTGTAAACTCTCTCTCTAGTGACAGTTAAACTTAAGAAAATAGGGATAAGATCGAATATCGTGTACTCCTGCCCACTAAAATAAATTTGTTATTGTTTATAATTATGGAATCAAAGTGAATCACTTCCTCGTTTCTCTCTCCTCACTTCTACTCCGAATCCAACCGCCTACCTGCGACCACTTATGTGACGTAAAGTCGCGATTTCCAAGTCCTGAGAGACTCGGTGGTGTCACATCCTGATGCAGTGTCGAAGAGACACTGACCCTACAGTCACACATATATATATTATTAAATTTCTTCCATGTATCCATTACGCCAGGAGTGGTGTAAGAGATATATTGCCACTGCATAGAGATACTCATACTGCAGTATTAACAACCTTGTACTTACTTACATACACAATAAACCTCCCAGTTCAAAAACTTACACACCTCAGTGGAAGTTGCTGTGATGATATATAATAAACTAATAGACAACATGAACAAAATTGAGAGGGAGTGCAAGAAATTAGTATACAAACATAACTATATGGTTACAATATCATCTGTAATGCAAAAGATCTGTTGGACATGATCACTGCTCTCAGCATATATGAAATACCATTCACTCTAGGGAATGAAAACAGAATTAGTAAGTACATGGATATGTGTCATATAACCGGTCTACTAGAATCAAGGAGCCATGATCATGATGTAAGAAAAGCAAAGTGCAAGGTGATCATGTCTATCCTTTCCACTATTCTTGAGAACACCATACATTTCAATGAATCAAAACTCAAGACTGTCAGTAACCAAAATGTGGGAAAATTGTTGAGATGTTAACAATTTATAGACATGCTAGAAATTGCCTCTGCATAAATTGTGAAGATACCCGATGTTTACAGTTTGCATGGAAGTGTGTTATATGAATTATGGTGCAACTACCAACCAACATGTCAATATATTGAATTAGTTTTTATTTATATACTAGAAATTCTCCTGTCAAGCATGACAGAATATTTTTAATGAGAAAGTAGAGATTGAAGAATCAAGAAGAGCTTCAATTCAATCTCGATGTTGTGATGCCATTTCTGCAGCCCTTGACAAAGCCATCCTTATTCAATGTTGCTCAAGTTGGACTTCACAGCCTTTGGGGTCTCGGTTGTTCTTATTCATTTAGATCTAGAATTTACCTGATCAATTTTACTCTTTTGCTTTCCCCTAGGCGTTTTTTTTTTTTTTTTTGACAAAATTGTGAGTCTCTTTAAATCCACATTGATAAAACAAAGAAGAATTGTATGTACAGTATGTTAGTTAGATTAGTGTTAACACTTTCTAAATAATGGGCTTGTTAGATTGTTACTTTTGATCAGATAATAGAATGTCACGTGGTCACTATGGAAAGATTTTTAAAAAATTTATTATAGAAGTGACATGATGAGGCTATCTTTTTTAAAGTTTAAATTTAATTAAGCAAGTTTAAAATAAAACATTTATCAAAATATTTAAAAATGCAAGTTAAGGAAAATTCTCTCATCAAGCATAAATGTCACTGCAACATAGTACGGTCACCAATTTGAAATTGATAAAACATTTATTCTATAGCTAATATTTCCACAAAATAACTAGTAGCCCATACTTTCCATCAGAACATAAAACAAATACAGTCGACCCCCCCCTATAACATGGTAGATACATTCCACTTTATAAGAATTTCACGTTGTAGGAATCCTTAAATACATGAGCCAATCACAGCCCGGCACGTGTACAGTTTATGGACTACGGCTGTTTGAAAGGTTTTCTTCCATAAAATTAATTGATTCTAGACTAATTTGACTCAACGTTTCCAAAACACGTATAATTTTTTGGGAATAATCCATATAAACTATGCTATAAACAAAAAATTGTAGGATTACTTACCGAGTGTGCACCATTCGACAACACCATTGCTTAAGCTTGTTTTTGGAGCAGTGCACCAAATGGTGGGTGCATTTTCTGATAAGTTATTTTTCTGCAAAAAATTTGTTGAACTTTGGAGACATCATTAATAGAAATAATTTTTATGGCCGTTGAATAAGAAATGTTTCTTTCACAAGAAATGTATAAAATTACAGTACTGTATTAGACTTCTTACAGTACCTAATTTATATACTGTACAGATGATAGTAAACTCAACTTACCCACCTAAACTCTCCATAGCGTGTAAGTAGTTCGGCTGCTTGTCCACTGTTGGTCCAGATTCGACCAATCCTGTCGCAACATGAGTCGGCAATGACGTTTTACCGCATTTTATGAGTCCCTTTTAGCGTCTTTATACGAATACGGACACAATTTTTTCGCCGTGATATATGAATCGCATTATATGAACCCGCGTTATAGGAGGGTCGACTGTATAACTGAAATTTCATCTGGATTGGAGAAAGATTGCAGGAGTTATAAGGAATTCACACACAGACAGACACAGACACACACAGGATTTTATATTAGTAATTAGTTATTCTTATATTTCTGTTGATATTTGTGTAATTGCTTTAATATTCAAGTTGAAATTGCCAACATTTTATTATATGTCTGCAAATTTAAACTTTAAATATTCTACATTCTTTGAGTTATATATATTTTTAATTGTTTTAATATGTCTTTTTAATCTGTAAATTTCCATCCAATGGAGAATTATTGTTTAATATAAATTGAAGACAAAAACTGCCCAAAAAGGGATCGACATTTATTCTTTGTGTTCCAAGACTATACACTTTTTTCGGTGACTGACCTTTCTTTGTAGGTTGTTGTTGCCGGAAAATTACAAAAAGTCCTTTTAAAAAACACAAAACACATCCAATTAAAATCCTTTTTCAGAAATTATTATAATTTAAATTGGATGTGTGTTGTGTTTTTTAAAAGGACTTTTTGTAATTTTCCGATGATAAGCAGCCTACAAAGAAAGGTCAGTCGCTGAAAAAGTGTATAGTCTTGGAACACAAAGAATAAATGGTGATCCTTTTTGGGCAGTTTTTGTCTTCAATTTTTATTAAATGTCCATTTAATGTCAGAGTCAATAAAACCAGGGTTTCTACTGATTAGTCTTATTACGTACCCCTTAATGTTATTGACCAATCGGAGTAGGCAAGAGACCCAAAGTGATCACAATAAACAGAGTCTACTGTATTCGAATTCATATAATATAGAATTGTTAATACAGTTGTTTATTTATTAATTAGGTTTTGAATATTATTTTAATTTGCCGATTAATATATCTAGTTTATAATTTATATTATTCCTAAAAATAAATAATATATATTTTTTAATTAGATATGCAGATTTTATTGCCTGATTACACTAATTGCTTGAGCATACAAGCATTTCTTAGAATGTGCTGTTTGAAATATAGAGTCGTAATGAGAAAAAATGCCGAACACATGTCTCCTTCAGGTATTGAAAATATTTTAACTTTGATTAGATATATATATATAAAGTATTTTGTATGTATGTGTATATATATATATATATACAAAATTTATTTTTATTTTGTATATATATATATATATATACAAAATTGGACGTGTGTGTCCCTATATTTCACTTTT